AAAAAAAAAAAAGAGGAGAGACGGGAGGCGCAATCTGCGTCTGAGCTGGCAGCCTGGCACAGTTACCATGGCACAAAAAAGCCCAGCCGGCGAGGAAACTGCGGCAAACTGCAGTCAGGTGATTCCAGAGGCAGCCAGACAACTGGACCGACGGTCGACTGAAGGCATCATCCGGACGCCGGAGTTCAAAACGAGAGCCTATCGACAGACGACGACAAAGTAAACGAACGCCCGAGTCAGCAACGACAGCGAGAAGATGACAAATCATCGGTGTTATCCGTAGACATCGGGCCAACCTGTTTAACTCATTCACTCCCAAAGATGTTTTTAAACGTCTTTTCAGACTCTGTCCAGAATTGGCTGGTACTGAATGAGTTAAGAGCGCGCCTTCCAGGCGCTGCCATCTAGGTCACCTCTCGTCTCGAGTGGAAGTGGATACTGTTGTGGCGCTTGGCTTTTTTTTTTTGGCTCAGAGCCACAGTACGACATCAATGAGAACTCCTGTGAGGTCACTGCTTCGCAACAAGAGTTGTCTCGGTCACAATGCGGCAAACGGGCTGGGAGATGTCGACTGCCAGGCTGTCAAGACCGGCGTGTGAGAAGCCCCCCCTTTGTCAAACCGCCGTGGGAATCACCAGACGGATGGGACGTCCGTCCGTCCGTCTGAGGCGGACCGGATTCGAATTCACCGCCTCTTGGAACATAGTTTCGAGTGCGGCAGAACAATCTGTTCCATCGCGCTCGTCAAGCTGCTCTTTGTCCACATGTTTAAACAATGTTCCCATCAGTCGATTGAAATGATTTGTTCCAGCGGCGATCCGCTGTTGCCATTATGAAATTTTGATTGAGCGAACAAGCAAGACGTCTTTTAAAACGGCTGGGCTGAAGGTAACCCAGACTTGAGTCAAGTAGCGAACACAGCGCCGGGTCCCAAAATGAAGGGTTCTTCACGCCCACAGCACGTTGGCTTGAAGATACGACCCAAGAATTTGATCTCACAAGGAATAAAAGCTACACAAAAGAATGAGCAAAACCTACCAAGATGTGGGTTACCGGGTTCTCTTTGGTGAAAAATCGTCTAAGAAGAAGAAGCAGAAATTGGGAATCTGCAAATGGCCTAAAGCACCAACAACATTTTCCAAAAATATGACATTAAATTGACTTCAACTTCTGTCCCAAATGGCGGCCAGCTTCAGCTTTTCAGCCCGCCCAAATACATCATCTTAAATCCACTGCGTAGAAGAGCGGGAGGAAAGGGCATGCATGGGGAGAAAGTTGTGCGTAAGTTTCAATATTTGCGACCGTGGATACTCTTTGTATGCGGGG